TTTGATTATAGCCCTTCACTTAAGTGGTATCCATTTATCTGATGTTATTCACCTAAGTGATAATATACATTTTGATCAAAGCCCATTTGTGTTTATAGCTTGATTTGCCTATATGCATGGCATTCAAATGTCTCATAAGCTGAAATAATGTTTCCAGGTGGGTTCCATTTGATGTAGCAAGGCCTCTACTTGACAAAAAGAAGTATGCTGTTTTATCTGATTATGCCAGTTTACAGAATGGGGAGTCCTCCAATTCTGGGGTTGCAGAAAGTGCCTTGGAATTGCAACAGGATGAGATTAACCAAGAAGACAGAAATGATGTTCGTATGGATGATGATGAAGAAATGCTTGAGCCTGAATCTGAAAGTTCTGATGATGATTTAGAACCAGAAACCAGTGATCTGATGTCTGTTGGAATTGAAGATGGGGATGTGACTAAAATTTTAATTGGATTGAGAGGATCTCCAGTGAGATATAAGGTATGTAAATATAGGTACTTGCATGTTATTTCAAAGCGCTTTTACCGTGTCCCCTGCCTGGTTCTTTTCTTGAAAATGGAAGTAGAAGAATGTAACTATTGGAAAGGGGAAAGTTCATTTTTTTGTATCATCTGTCTCCTTATCTAAAATTGGCACTGCTGTATAATATAATAAACCCCTTAAATAATAGGTAGTGCTGTTGTTTGGAGTTGAAAATTCTTTACAACATCGGATGAATCCAATATGGTAGAAGTAAAATATTGTGTCTGAGAAAGGAACCTGAATCCTTGGATAGGGGACAGGAATACAGATAGATATCTTTGAGTTGTGGCCTGGGAAAATTTATCTTGCCTTTTATTCTCACTGGTTGTTTCTTTCTGAAGGAGATACAACAAGCAATCGACCCCAGGAAAAGGAAGGACTTGGAAGCACGGTTGCGAAGATACCAAAAAGTGGTGGGTGTAGAGCTGTCTGAGCGAATGGTTAATATGGGTTAGTAAATTTATTTCACATGCTGCACCTACTGTCACGACTGAAATTGTTGCTGAGGTCCTGTTCAATCGAGTTTATTGGCCGCTAACTTAGAGCTGCCATTAAGTTCCACTGTTTCTTGGATTTGGGGATTGCTTTTGTTCGATTAACATTAAAATCACAGATCTCTATTTCAAGTCTACCCCACAACTTGCTTTATGTCCTCTTTAGTTTGCCAGATGAACTAGGTTTCCTCCATTCTACCAAAAAAAAAAAAAGCTCTGCTCTTGTAACAACAGTATTTTATTGAATAAAATCTGTTTTTCCTTTTCTAACAATTATGATATCACGTATCCTTCTCCTCATCCATTTCCCTTTCACTTCTGCATTTTTTTAAAATCATCAACTTGATGGTGCATTAGAAAGTCGATAAATTTCCTTTTTTCGAGAAAGCAATTCGATTCGCTGGTTGTGTCAACCTTCCACATAAAGTAAATTGGTCATTGACAGAATTTTTAGTTGGGAAAGCGGATCGGTGGATGATTGAATGCATAATCCCCTTTTTCGGCTGAGGGAAGAAAATCTTATCTTTGGGGTTAGGTCTTTGTCTATCAATTATTCATCTGTTGGTCACAACAAATCTTCTAAACATAAGGTTGGTGCCTAAATGGTAGGGTAATAAAGCAAAGAGTTGGTTCCCCAAGTGGATTTCCCCTTACTTGATAGGCTCAAGACCTTTTAATCACTTTCTTTACCTTATTATTATTATTATTATTATGGTATGCGAAAAATCAAGATGTCTCAATATTAAAAGTGTTAGGATATTCAATCTTGATTATTTATTAAGTAAGGGACAATCAGGATCCACTTAATAAATGGTGTTGATTGGATGTCATGACATTAAAAATGCTAAGACATCATGATTATTACTTTTCTAGTATTTTTTATTATTATTATTATTATTATCATTATTTTCTTTAATTTTTCGGTAAACTACTTTTTCATATCTCTTCCTTTTTAAAGCATTGTCATTTTTAGGGTGTGTTTGGGACTAAATTTAATAAATAATTTAGTCATTATTAATTTAATTTTATATTAATTTAAAATTTTAATTTTCTTTTTTAAATGATCTAAAAATTATCATTTCTATATCATTTTAGTCTATCTATTGAGCCACCATTACCTTTTGTTAACGAAATGGAATGCTATGTCATTTTTCAACTTTTAAACTTTAAAAAAATGTTTTAATTAAGTCCTTAAATTAGGTAGTGGAAAACCAAATACCCTTATATATCAATTAATTATTAAGATTTTATTTATCTTATTATAATTTACTTTCTGCATTTCATAATAATAGTTTTTTTATCGTAGGATTAAATATTTGAGAATAATTTATATTTTTACTTATATTACTCTTAAAAAGGATAAAAATAAAAAAGACTTTTTATAATAAGATTGATAATTAAAATTAAAGAATAATGATAAATTTTAAGTAAAAAAATATTTATCTTTCTTAAAATATGTAAAAAAAATAAAAATTAATTTGAAACAAATTTTAAATGAAAAAAAATATTATTCTAGGACCGTATGGAGCATGTAGTAGGTAATTCATTAGCATTGTGACAAAAAAAAGGGCATCTACTAGCATTAAATTATAAAAAAAAAGAATAAAAATTAATTATTTGTTGGTAATTAATTAGATTAGAACTTTTATTCAAAAAATAGATCAAAACTAATTAAGAAGAAAAATTAATAAGATGTGACACCTAAGAAGGAAAAGGGAAGAAAACGAAGGCAAAATGTTTTTATTATTTTATTATTATATCTCTTTATTATCAATATATATATATATATATATATAGATATTGCCATTGCAACATGCTGACATGTATAATTAAGTAAGGGTAAATTTGTCATTTTACTGTACTGTGTTTTCCTCTACCTAATTCAAGGACTTAATTAAAACATTTTTCAAACCTTGGAAGTTAAAAGATAATTTTTCCTTTTTTTTTTTTTTTTTGGGGCCACACCACGCCAGTTTGGTTTAGCTCCGCTTGTCTAACGACATGCAATTGTGTTAACAAAAAGTAACTGTCGCAGGATGGAAAGATTAAAATGGTATAAAAATGATGATTTCTAAATCATTTACGAAGCAAACTGAGTTTTTAAACTAAAATAAGATTGAGTCGGATAGTTATTAAAGTATTTATTAAATTTTGCCGTGTGTTTTGTGAAAGGCAACCTTTTCAAAAAAAAATTTACTGAAAAAGTTAATTAAAAACATTATATAAAAAATTAAAATATATTGTATAAAGGGTTATTAAGTTTTATAATGAAAGTTTATTAAAATTTTGTTGAAATATTAACTTTATTGTGTTTGATAGCTAAAAAATTAATATAAAGAAAGTATATGATAAGTTGCTAGAGAAAGTTGTGAAGTAAATTCGACGTAGAGAAGTTGTGGGAACAATTTTCTTGAAAAAATATGAAAAAAAAATTTATGGATTGAAAATTGTACTAAAAAAATAAAAAAAAAAATCTCACTTTACCCATTGTTTATTATAGTTTTAAGATGAATAAATACTAGAATGCCCCCACAAATCCTTAAAAGAGGCATTTTGTAGCAAAGTAAACCAAACAACCCCTTGAATTGTTTTTCCCATTACCAAAATTTCAGGTCAGATTGAGGGTTCTTGACTTGAAACTTGTTGATAAATTTAAAAGTTGTTTTAATTCCAACGACTTGACTACCCTAATAGTAAATCTACTTCCCATGGAAGTAAAAAGCTATGAGTTTGATTTGCATGATATACAAGTGAAAATGAGTTAAGCCATAGAAAAAGATCTCTTATTGTGCAATCTAAATTAAAAAATAAATAAAAGTTGTTTTAATAAGCCAATACAATGCAGCAATCAGCAGAACTGGAAACTTGATAAAAGTTTCCATTTCAAACTATTAGGGAAGGATGCAGCTTTCAGATTGTAAACCAGATCAATTAAAAGGGAACGCAAAAGCTAGCATTCTGAATGAAACACATTATTCAATCAAGTTTGTCCATAAACTGAGTCAGAATGAACAATTTATCAATGTTTCCAATCAGGTCAAATGAGGGACGATTGGTGTTGAGGATTCACATGAGTTGTGAATTAGAGCATTTGGAAGTTGGAGAATGTACAATTGGAATTGGTTGGAATTCAAGGATAATCAAACATCATCTGCATCACTGCTACCAACATGAGGTTCTTGGCTCCAGTAGTTGCTTCCATCAGGACCAGACAACTTAAACCTGCTCAACAGCACTCTATTAAGTACCCTAATCAAGAATTTAAAGCCTCTCCACATATCAGGTTTATCTCTACTGACCGTTCAAGGACAGATCTTCCTTCCTTGTACTTCTGGCTCTTCTCATGGGCAGTCTCCTGAAAGAAACTTTCCAAGTAACTAACGGCAACAAGGAAAAACACATATTAACCATAATTTTCTAAATCTGTCATCAGATCTTACATATTTCCACCCCACTATTGATCCACAACAAACACAGAAGATATCAGCCACAGTATGCATCCCAGTTATCATCATTCTATCCTCTTTCTCTCCAACAGTTACATTCACTCTGTCAAAGAATGGGATATGAGAATTATCCAGACATGAATAACTGCAACATATTATTTCATGTGGCTCAATTGTTCCATAGATGATGTAAGTTGAACAATGAATGAAACCCTTTATTGTCCTAATTTAGGATACTGCCCATTGAGACTAGATACCAGAAAGAACTCAAGTCGTTCATCTCTCTCTCTCTTTATATATATATATATATATATATATTGATATATATATATATGCACTCTAACAAACTAAAAGATGAGACAGACAAATGACAATTCTCTTATAAAATGGAAAACTAAAAGTTTTTAGCTGTGTCATAAGTGGCATGTTGTTTATCAGTACACAACATTATTTGGCTTCCCCCTTTACTGGCAACTTATAGCACAGTAATATCCATTATGGTTGTTGGTCCAGTATGAGTTAGTTATTAAAAAATAAGGAAAAGGTGCCCAAAATCAAGAAAACTTACACCTTATTGAAGAGATAAGCTTTCCCATGCCTGCATTGGAATCCCTGAAGAATACAGCACAGGCAAGGACCAATTAGAAAGTTTGCATCTCATAGAACCTCAAAAATGCATTTTATGGACAATTGGACACCATGAAATAATACTAATTTAAGAGCAAAAGAAAAGGCCTTAAAATTGCTTAACCTTATATCAATTGGTAATCTACAAAACTACTTTTTAACCCACTATATCCATGTCCTGCCATAATACAGGCAAAGATGCATGCTGATCTGGATTTATTTATGTGTACCCAAGCACATACACTTCAAAGACAAATTAGTTTCAAAAGAATTACTAAGATGGTTTCAAATGAGGGATGCATGGCTACGAGATTCAGCATCACTAGAATTATATCAAGTACCCATAGCAGATGTGTTTAATTTTTTAGAGAGGCCTCAGACCGTAAGATGATTCCTATTTCCTTCTTCTTCAAACTAACATAGTTTTAGACAAATTCAATATCAATAACCAATAACGGCAGTAATGAATCTGCCAACTGCCAACCGCCACCTGCCAAATTTAGCATTCATACAAGGCTACAATTAGGTTCAAGAATCAGATTCAATCTTCAGTGAATGCCATTCGAATATACATTTAGTATCATAAATGACCAACAATTTAGAGTCATCAAATTCAAAAGAAAGATTTCCTCTGAGAAGATAGTAAATCCAATATCAATAGGTAAACATCAACATAAATGTCATGAAACTTAAACAATATCAATACTCCAAAGTCCAAAAAGCACCATATATGGAATGGACAAATTCTCCCGCATAAATCACGCAAATAAATCATGATCAGATGACTCCCTTCCAAAATCATATCATACAAGAATAAATAAATTATGAATCAAATCAAACACTGAAAAGAGTTCAAAGAGGAAAACAAAACAACCTTGGAGATGATGTCATCATACAGGGCGAGATGGGTTTTGCAGTGCTTGCAGCTATAGATCCTCCCTTCAAGATAAACAACAAACAACCTCCCCATCTATCCACACAGATCTTTGCAAACAGAAAGCAAGAATCTTTATGTGGGTATCAAGAGAAAAATGAAAATTTAGATACCGAGGTCGAGCTTTAAACAGAACCTACAAGCGAAAGATCGAAGATTGACAAAAAGGGTATGCAAGACTCAACAAGATTAGCGGATTGCACGTAGAAAATGAAACAAATTACACGAAAAGAAGATGCCAGAGAAACAAAGAAAGCAAATCAAGGAGCGAGAACCGAGAAAGGTTTGGATCGTTGTAATGTTTGATGGTGGCGTACCTCAATCTCTCCTCCCTGTTTGTTGCGTACTCTTTATTGCGTAGAAAAAGCCTGCAAGAACCTTGGACCCAGAAGCTATCAAATTTCACGATTATTTCACCTTTTTCTGTAAAGTAGAACTTGGGAACTTTGACAAAGACGTGTATTATACGGGTGTTCTTTTTCTTTACACAAAGGAAAATAGGGTGGGGATATTAACACATTTTAAATAAATAGTTAATATCAATTTTTT